TACAAGGTGCAGTCTTACCGCTTTTTTATCCATTCTTTTAACAGGAAATATTTGAGTCTTCCTTCTCTTGACAGATTTCCGCCTTAACACAGATTCCAATATTCGAAGGTTTTACTGTATAAAGAGAAACAATTACTTTTGTCATGTTGACCTTTTGTCTGCTTTTATGTTGGTTTATAATGTTTCATTGTTATAAATGCAGAGTATATATTATAACTACTGGACTGTATATTCCTATGCCGATTGCCGTAAAAAGGGGAAAACCAAAGTCCTCCTGTTGTTGCACGCAGGCATCCCTCCCAGTGCAGGAATACTTGTTCATGCCGTTCGACCAGGCCCACAAGCAGTACGAGACAGCCAGACATCTGCCACCGCCTCTCTACGTGCTCTTTGTCCAGGCCACTGCATACGGGCAAGCCTGTGGTGAGTATGGGCACGGGAGCAGTGGTGCAGCACAGGAACCCCATTTCAGCCCTGCCTGCTGTGGCACACTCCTGACGCTTGCTTTGAAGTCACTTCCTCTCCTCTGCGTTGCCCAGCCTGGCTGTCCTGACCAGCTGGCTGCAGTATTTCCGCCTGGGAGGCATTGGGCCTTTCATGAACCTGGCCAGATGGCCATTGGGTAGAGAATCAGGCACTCTTGGTAGATGGATTAAGCATTTTTTCCCAGTGTCAGGAAGAGGATTTGGTGAACACAGGTCCCAGCCAACTCATCCAGGCTTTTTCCATTACTCCAAACAGAGTGCATGCCATTATGGTGAAATGCCAACTTAGTGGGTATGCCCCTTAGTAAGCTTAAAGGAACCCTATGACTCTGCTGGGGCTGTGAGAAGGGGCCTGGTCCCCTGCCCATTGCTCTAATGAATGCAGTTTTAACCCAGCACCTAGACTCTTCTCCCAGCCCCCCAGAGCCCTAGGCAGGATGAGTAACCTTTTTTCTTTTCTATTCAAAAGCAGCTGGTTTCCAGTCCCATTTTATTGTAGGAGTAAGCTTTAAAAAAGTAGTTTGGCATTTGCCACTGGTTGATGGAATCAACCAGCTTTGGTGTGGTGTGGTGTGTGTGGTGTGGTGTAGTGTGTGATGGCTCATGAAGTGAAGTGTTGTCAGAGCCAATGAGTGGTTGAGCACCCAGGGATATTGTCTCAATGGCCTGCCACCTGGGCCAAGTTGGTCATTGCTCCCCAGTAAAGTTGGGCAACCCTTTCAGGCTCTTATGACTTTCCATAACCTTATCTATAGAGCTGAAAGGGAAGGTGGCTAGTCTGACCTCCCCAAGCCAAACCCCACTGTGTTAGTCTAGGTGGACTAGAGAAACAAATACGTGGACACACCTATGTGTATAAGAGACATTTATATACAAGAGCAATTGAACATTGAGAAAACATCCCAGCCCAGTCCAGATCAAGTCCGTAAGTCTGATAATAGCCCATATTATCCGATATCAATCTATAAAGTCCTCTTCAGACTCATGAAACACATGCAATTACACCGAATGCAGAAGATCACAGGGCAGTGGGTAGAAAGTCTTTGGATCCGGTGTCATTGGAAACATCTTCTCAGCGCTGGCAGGGGTCTCTGTGGCTTCTCCGGCTTCCGAGGTCTGGTTGCGTCCATGTGGCTTGTCTTCTGCAATGTCTCCCAGGAAGTTGCCTGGAGAGAGAGGTGTCTTCTGCCTCCAAGGACGAAGTACCAGATTTCCCAGAATTCTCAGGGGAAGGCCATGCCCACCCAGAAGTCTCATTGGCTATCTCCAGATTGAGAGCCTAGACTCCACCTTTGTAGTCTTCATCCTTACATTGACACCAGATTAGGTGACGACCACACCCACAAAATTCCACAAGGGCTGGGAGGGCAGGCCCAAGGCAGTAACTGCAGTGTCGGGCCTCTGAGCTGAATACTGAGAGTGCCAGCGCCAGCTGAAGAGACCTGCTCTTGATTTCCTGGCTCTGGTGCCTTAACCTCCCCACCTTCCTTGCTCAGCTGTGAGTGATTGCAAATGTAGGGTCACTTTTTACAGGGTTATGTGAGGGTACCAATGTTTCAACTGACTGAAGAGATCCACATTTGTGCCCATTCCAAAGCAGAATGTGCCAATTCTAGGACAATATGATTGATAGCACATATAAGTGAAATTTTGCTGAAGATCTTTCAACAGCAGTTGTAGCACATTGGCAGGAAGATGCTAGGATAGAGCACATTAGACAAGGGATATCCTTGCTGTCAGGTGGACCTTGATTGGAACTAGGGAACACCAGAAAGATATTTTCAAAACCAAGCTCACTATCATCAAGTGATTTTAACTTGTAGTGACCCGATAGGACAGTAAAGTGTGCCTGTGGATTTTGGTGACTATAACTGTTTACCGGAGTGGAAAGCCTCATCTTGCTTCCATGGAGTGGCTGATGGTTTTGAACTGTTGACCGCGTTAATAGCCCAACGCATACTTGTGTGTTACTGACTATGCCAAGGCATTCAACTCTGTGGACCGTAACAAGCTATGGATAGCCTTACGAAGAACGGGAGTTCGAGAACACTTATTGTCCTCGTGCAGAATTTGTACAACGATCAAGAAGCAGTTGTGGGGAAAAAGATATGGGAATACAGCTTGTTAAACCACGTTAAATCAGGAAAGGTGTGCATCAGGGTTGTATCCTTTCACCCTACTTAGTTAATTTGTATGTCGAACAAATCAGAAAAGCTGGATTGTATGAGGAAGAATGTGGTATCAGCCTTGGAGGAAGGCTTATTAGCAATCTGCGGTAATGCAGATGATACAACCTTGCTTACTGAAAGTGAGCAAGACTTAAAGCACTCATTGATAAAGATTGCAGCCTTTAGTATGGATTACAACTCAATGTAAAGAAGCAAAAATCATCATAACTGGACCAGTAGATAACATCATGATGAACAGAGAAAAGACTGAAGTTGTCAAGGACTTTGTCTTACTTCGAAGCAGAAGTCAGGAGATGAAACAACACATGGCGTTGGGTAAATCTCTTCAAGCCTCTTTTAGTGTTGAAAAACAAGGAGGTTACTTGGGGACTAAGGTGCGCCTCGCCCAAGGCATAGTATTTTCAGTTGCCTCATATGCATGGGAAAGTTGGGCATCGAGTAAGGAATACTGAGAAGTGATGCATTTGAGTTGTGATGCTGGCGAAGGATATTGAAAGTACCATGGAGTGTCAGAAGCACAGACACATCTACCTGGGAAGGAGTGTGGCCACAATACCCCTTAGAAGCAAGGTGGTGAGATTTTGGCACTCATACTTTGGACATGTGATCAGGAAAGGCCAGTCCTGGGAGAAGGACATCGTACTTGGAAAAGTAGAGGGCAGAAAAAAGAGGAAGACCCTTAACAAGGTAGATTAGCATGGGGGAGAAACATTGGGCTCAAAACAGGAACAATTAAGAGGATGGCACAGGGCAAGGTAGTGTTTATTCTGTTGTTCATCATCGCTATGAGTTGGATTTAACTCAACAGCACCTCACAGAAGCAAAACTCATATTTCAAAAGCATTTCCCAATTAAAATCAGGAGCATCAGCTCATTCCGTTCTTGCCACCCAACAGGACCGGCCGGCACTGTGGTTACCAAGTCTCCATTTCATGAACGTGCAAAGTGAGGCCCAGAGAAATGACCTGTTTTTTCCAGGTTATGCGGTTGGGAATTGGAGGGGCAGGGACTCAGGCTGTAGACTGGAATACAAGGGTCCAAGTGCCTCTCCACTGTCCTGTGCCTCCCGGGTAAGTGCCGCAGTGCCGGGCAGGTGTGTGTTGTGCTGAACAGGCCCTCAGATGCAGGTGTCCTTTCTAGGAGCTTCTGAGTAAGAGCCGTTGAGACCAACAACTGACCCAAGAGTTTTCTTGTGGCATGAGGCCCTGGGTGTGAGTGTGCCCCTTGGTGTAAACCTGAAAAGAGAGGGTTCACCACTAGTCTTAGGTAATGCCTGTGCAGGAATCTGAACTTTGGGTTCTTACCTTGTTTCCCCGAAAATAAGACTGTGCTCCCAAAGATGCGCTAAGTCTTATTTTCAGGGGATGTCATATTTTTTCATGAAGAAGAATACGGTACACATTTATTGTTTTATCAAGAGACCTCGCACTTCTGTCTGCTCTGGCTGTGCTGCGGCCAACAGTGAGCTGCGCGGCGGGCCAGAGTCCAGAGTTACGGTAGCTTCGGGGGGCCTATTTTTCTGGGGGATGCCTTATATTTCAGCGATAGGCAAAACTGTAGGTAGGTCTTATTTTCGGGGGATGTCTTACTTTCGGGGAAATGGTATTTCTCAGGAAACAATGGACATAGGGGTCTCACATTTTTCTTGTTTCTCTTTGTCCTCGCACTCCGAGTTTTTGCAGACCTGTGGCAAAGCCGTCACTCCTCGATCCCCTTGCTGGCCTGCTCCTTCCCACGGTGGCTTTCCTGACCCTCCCTTTTCTTGCCCCCAGATAAGACATTGTCTGTGGCCATTGAAGGCAGTGTGGACGAAGCCAAGGCCCTGTTCAAGCCTCCCGAGGACTCCCAAGGTGATGTGGTGTTGGGGACAAAGGCACCATCCCCCTCTCCCGCCCAGCAGGAGTGGAAAGGGTGGTACAGCTGTATTGTCATCGATCTCTGAGCTGGCAGGAGGAAGCTCAAGTTCAATGCTGCCCCGGATTGCTGCCCAGCCCCTTGCTAGCCTCATAACCTTACGGGCTGAATTTACCTTTCGGCTCTGCAGTTACTCATCTGTAAAAAGAGGGTGTGGAATTATTATCTGGATGGGGTGAAGCACACTCACCAGGCCTTTAGTCTCTGCCGTGGCACAGAGCCTCCCCTCAGATTAGGTGAGCTGCTGCTGACGACTGGTTTGCGGTCCACAGAAATAACAGTCAAGACCTGGTTTCAAACCCAGGGGACTGTTTAGCATTTCCTCTGAGGCAGAGACGCAGTGGAAGGGGCCAGGGAAACGGAATCACCCTGAAGGGAGTGAATGAGAACCCTGAGGCCCTCTGAAGAGTGTAATCAGGGTCAGGGTGGAGTGATGGCTAAATGGGAGCCTGACGCTGCAAGCTTCCACCGAAACCACAGTACAGTATTCTTTCACAAATAAGGAGCGGTCGGGTTATGGTTTATCCGCCTCACTCGGTTTTCTGTCTAAGAGACAGTGAATTTCCTCACTCTTATTCTGAAGAAACCCGCTGGCAGACACGCAGCGGCGGTAAAGCCCCTCCGGGCCCACGGCACTGAGTGCGCTGGGAGCATGCTGGAGCTCCCTCGTTCCTAACCTCCTCCTTCTCTCCGGCTGCAGACGATGAGAGCGACTCGGATGCTGAAGAGGAGCAGACCACGGTGAGAGCCACCTCCTCTCCCAGAGACGCCAGCCTTCCTCCCTGGGGCCTGCTCTGTGGCGGCTGCCAGGTGCCGCCCTCCCCGAGCACAAGGACTTGGGGAGCCTGGCAGCCCCGAGAGCAGAAGCAGAGGGTCCCAGGCAGTCATGCGTCAGACCTGGCAGTGGGGGCCGGGAAGGACAGTCCACGTTGACGAGTGCTCTCTAGCTCAGGCCTCTCCCTCTGTCCAGAAACGCCGGCGTCCCACCCTGGGAGTTCAGCTGGACGACAAACGCAAGGAGATGCTGAAGAGGCACCCACTGTCTGTCATGCTCACCCTGAAGTGCAAAGGTTTGGCACCCATTTTACTCCGGGCGGGTCCTGTTGCCCTAAAAGCAGGTGCAGGGGGTCAGTCCCGTCTGAGATCTCTATCCAAGAAAGAATTTCAGCTTAACTGTTCTCTGATTCCCCTCCTGGTTTTCCATGGCATTTTTGCTGCTGCTGTTGTTTTGCTTATCTTTGTCATCACGGCAACAACACAGCAGCCAAAGGCCAAACACATAAGGGAAGCCTGGAACAAAGGACACTCCTCTGAATTGTTTTTTCCTTCAAAAAAACATTAATTGGGAATTAATGCATATACCATTCCATAGTTCAGTCACGTCCAGCAGAATTGTACACTTGCTTCCACAGTTTCAAACGTTTCTCCTTGGACTCCTTCACATCGTTCCCCACTCCCCTTGCTCAGGCACACAGCACCAGGAAGCATGTGCAGCTCTGGTGCAAGCAGCCGTGTGCTTGGCTGAGTAAACATATGTAGAACTCCAGTTCTGTGAAGAAGAGCTGTGTTTTACTACTGTTTTCTGTAGACAGAAAAAGTAGAATGTGATCAAATATCCTGGCTGGCTGAGTGTCGTCAGCAGTGGAATTTCAGTTTCCCTAATCCTGTACTCCCAGACGCTACTTCTCCATCTTCTCTCCCAGGGCAACCATTGTGAGAGATTTCTTAGTCCCCCCTACTGTTATGATAGGGCCTCAAAAAGGTCATGGACGATTGAACTATTGAATTGTATGGTATGTAAATTATGTGCCCAACAGTTTGTGGACATTTTTAATTATCTTTGTATTCCATTTTTCTGTGAACTTTTTGATGTCTCCTCAGATTTTGTGCATTTAAAAGTTTTCTATACAGGTGAGTGTTTATGTCCCCACCCGTGGTTACTCCTCGTTTTATTTCAAAGTCAGGACAAGGAGCACTCGGTGCTTGACCTCAGAGTCAGAACTCATTGGGCTGCTAACTGCCAGTCAGCAGTTCAAAACCACCAGCTGCTCCATGGGAGAAAGATGGGGCTGCCTGCCCTTGTACAGAGTTCCCCTCTCAGAAACTCACAGGGACAGTTCTACCCTGTCCTGTAGAGTTGCTTTCGACTCGATGGCAATGAGATTTTTTGTTGTTTATTTCAGGGGTCCTCATTCATTTCAGGTTTTATACACATGGGAGCTTCTACCTTAAGTTCAGGAGTCCCTGCTTATTTGTACAGAAATCATCATATCCCTTCATGTGTATGATGCCAGTATCTGACCACAGGTGGTATTCACCTTGATCATGTGGCTAAGGTGGAGTCTGCTTGGTGTTTCTCCAAGGTCTTCAGTCAACATTCAACCCAACCCACTGCCATCGAGCTGGTTTGACTCATAGAGTGTTTCCAAGACCATTAATCTTTTTAGGAGCCAACAGCCTCATCTTTCTCTCAGGGAGCAGCTGATGGGTTTGAACTGCCCACCCTGCAGTTAGCTGTCCAGAGCTTACTTAACAGTGTGATCAAAGCTCCTTGTCCACACTTGGGGTGGTAATTAAGCCCCCCTACCTCTTGGCAGAGGTGCACCTTGGTGGTAGAGTGATGTGCTGTGGGCTGCTAACTGAAGGCCAACAGTTTGAAACTACCAGATGCTCCATGGGAGAAAGATGAGACTTTCCACTCTTGTGAAGAGTTACAGCCTTAGAAACCCACAGGGACTGTTCTGCCCTGTCCTGTGAGTCTCTGTGAGTCCGAATCGACTCAGTGGCAGGGAATGAGGCTTGAGGACAAGCATCGGGACTTGGTTTGTTTTTATTTACTTGACATTATCTGCCATTAAGTTTCTGCTTTCATAGTGGATTTTCTTTTTTTGTGTGTGAGTGAGTGAGTGAGTGAGTGGAGTGAGTGAGTGGAGTGAGGGAAGGAGGGAGGGAGTGAGTGGAGAGAGGGAGTGAAGGAGAGAGGGGGAGGGAGGGAGAGAATGAGTGAAGGAGAGAGGGAGGAGGAGTGAGTCATGGTAGATTTTCAAAGCCGCCCTAAGTTTCTTCCCTTTCATATTGTCGCCACCGGTCTAAGCGTTGTACTCATAAATTCTCTTTTTCTTCTTGCTTCCCCTCCCCCTCCAGATGAGAGTGTGCTTCATCTGACCTTCTTCTACCTCATGAACCTCAACATTATGACAGTAAAAGCCAAAGTGACCACCGCCACAGAGCTCATCACCCCCATCAGTGCAGGGTATTGCTGGGGGCTGGGGGGGTGGGTCTGGAAGTGGGGATGGGCAAGGACCTAGCACTGGGCTTTGAGGAGGCTCTGTGGTGGGCCTGGAGGGCCGGGCCTCACTGGTGTTTCTAAAGCACTTACTGACTTTAATTTCTGTAGCCCCAACCCACCCACACACACTTGGAGCAGGTATCAAGGGACCAAAGAGTATTTGCAGAATGTGTAGATGGGACAAAGTACCCGCACAAGGGCATGTTAGGGTGACGAATTCAGGCTGCTCTTTCCTTCTATCTTTTTGTCCCAGATGTCCGGATTCAGCCAGGTTACACGGGCAGCAGGAGGAGGGGCTGTGGTGGGTCCCCTGGGTGTTTTAGGTAGGTGAGCAGAGGGACAGAAGTGACAGCTCCTGGCTGAGCCCTATGTCAACTGTGGCCGGATGCCGCCACTGAGGCCCTAGGAGGCAGTGCCTGCCAGGGCTGGCCTACTCCCATTGCCACTGATGTTGGGGTGTTCGAGCCTACACCAGGAGTCGCCTGCATCTGCAGGCCACAGTGCCTGTGCCTAAGCATGTTGTTCAGCTGACCTGTTCCCACTCGACCCCAGCAGAGGGAGCTCAGGACTGGCTGGTTGTATTAGTAATTAATTAATTTTTCTTTTTAGTCATTGTATTGGATGGTCATACAGCTCTTTTTT